AGATATGTTAGGAACACGTTCTCATGGGGGCACAAACTGCTTCTTTGACGATCAGCTCCAGTTATCTGACGAGACTTTGCTAGACAGCAAAACCACCCGCAGGAAAGGAAATGGACCAGAAGTGTTCTCTTCTCTTGGCCACGACGAATCTTCTACACACGAAAATACGGCGACTATTGAAGAGTCATTCAGACTGTCCGCCACGTATCACACTCACAAGGACTGGCCAAAAAATAAAGCGACCTTCACCTTTCCCCAGATTAACATCTCCGACTCGATATCTGTGCAGAACCTCGGCCGTCCATCGTCACTGTCTTCACGCACCGTCGTGGAGTCTGTCTGTGTCAGAGAATCCTTGAGGTGGCCGGCGCCGCGGGTGAAAGAACCAAGAGACTCTCAGTACTGGGAACCCAGACGGCTACTATCGTCCACTTCTGATGTATCGTTCGACTCCACCGCAACTGTCGATTCTTTTTTAAGTAGTATGGACACAGAAGACGACCCATCCTCCCCTCGAATACGAGAAACGCGATTTTCTTCAGAGAGCCCAGAACCCGCGGACACGAATAACACTGAGGACTGGGAAAGAGATGGGGACGATTCTGAAAGTAACATCGAGGACTGGGAAAGAGCTGGGGACGATTCTGAAAGTAACATCGAGGACTGGGGAAGAGCTGGGGACGACTCTGAAAGTAACATCGAGGACTGGGGAAGAGCTGGGGACGATTCTGAAAGTAAGGCCAAGGTGTTCCCGGGCCCAAACACACAACCCGGGCATACTCAGAGAAGACGACAAGGACGGACGGTCTCTCAGAGAGGGCACGACAGCGTGCATGAGTTGAGGCGAAACCTGAAACTTCAGAAGGACATCCGTGCCGCCAAACTGCTCTTCCTCATGTTCTTCGTGTTCGTAGTGTGCTGGCTGCCGTGTGCCGTAATGTTCTACGTGGCTCGCGCCTACCAACTGCCCCAGTTCAGCACACACATCATCAACCTGCTGGGCTTCTCCAACTCCGTGTTCAACTTCTTCGTCTACCCCATGAAGGTCAACCAGTTCCGGGCGGCTCTCAGGAAGACGGTGCCGGTGTGTCGGAGGATCATGCAGGAGAACAGCAGTAGCAGGAGATCGGACTGAACGCAGGAGTAGCGGGTGATGGGACTGAACACAGGAGTAGCGGGAGATGGGACTGAACACAGGAGTAGCGGGATATGGGACTGAACACAGGAGTAGCGGGAGATGGGACTGAAGGCAGCAGTAGTGGGGGATTGGACTGTACTCAGGAGTAGCTGAACACAGGAGTAGATGAACACAAGAGTAACAGGAGACTGGACTGAACACCGGAGTAGCGGGACATCGAACTGAACGCAGGAGTAGTAGTGGGAGATAGGATTGAACACAGGAGTGGCGGGAGATGAGACTGAACATAGGAGTAGCTGAACATAGGAGTGGCGGGAGATGAGACTGAATATAGGAGTAGCTGAACATAGGAGTGGCGGGAGATGAGACTGAACATAGGAGTAGTGGGAGATCAGACTGAATATAGGAGTAGCTGAACATAGGAGTAGCGGGAGATCAGACTGAATATAGGAGTAGCGGGAGATCAGACTGAATATAGGAGTAGCTGAACATAAGAGTAGCGGGAGATCAGACTGAATATAGGAGTAACTGAACATAGGAGTAGCGGGAGATCAGACTGAATATAGGAGTAGCGGGAGATCAGACTGAACACAGGAGTGGTGGGAGATAACACAGGAGTAGCGGGTGATCGGACTGAATATAGGAGTAGTGGGAGAAAACACAGGAGTAGCGGGAGATCAGACTGAATATAGGAGTAGTGGGGGATCGGGCTGAATTCAGGAGTAGTGGGAGATAGGTCTCGTGATAGTTGTGTCATTCTACCATAGAATGTATGATCAATTTTTGTATAGCAGCATGGGTCGCGAACACAGGACAACAAGATAAAGAAAAAATATACCGACTAATACGGAAAGCATGCAACATTTCAACATCTACATCCCCTACTTTAATGAATTGTACGTTACAGCTTGCACTACAAAACTTAATTTCATCTTTTTGGACTATGCATATCCCTTGTTCCCCCAAATAAAAATATAAGTCAGAAGTAAAAGACCTAGGCTTCTTATATTGTGTAAAAAAAAACCCAACAAGATACAGAAGGTCTTTTGTACCATCATCCATTAAACGTTTTCCATCTTAAGCATCTTGTTATAAGTATTCATATGACCTCAGAGCATGCGTCAGAATAACATTGAGTTAAAATCAGAATACTGAGTATGTATGTAGATTAACATTATTATTGTTTATATTACTTTTCGTTTACATTATGCATGTGACTGTAAGCTTGTTTGTGAGTGCAAGCATGATGTGTGTGTGTGCTTGTTTGTGTGTGTGCATGTGTGTGTGTGTGTGTGTGTGTGTGTTTGTGGGTGTGTATGTGTGTATGTGTGTGTATGTCTGTCTGTGTGTGTGTGTGTGTGT